TTTCAAATGAGAGCAGAACACCCAGATTGACAGGAAAATGAAAAACAGACGAAACTGTTCCACATGATAAAACGTTTGCAGGAGTAGAAAAATGACATATAGATCTATCTTGGACAATGATTAAAGGTTCTGACGCAACCGAAAAATAGAAATAATGAAAAATGTGAAATGTTTCAATAGCTTGTCCACCAATCTCAACAAACGAATCTCCCCACCTTTCTACTTGTCGTAATGAAGGGGCAAAAGCTGCGTTGGAGACAATTTTCAACAACATTCAGGCATACAAACATGAGCACATAAGGTAATATTTGAGATCAAGTATCTCACCGCCCTAAGCTGCTGAACAGACTTGTACAATTCTTTCTTTGGCGCACAAATAACTATGGCATAATAATCTGCCATCACTTTCCCATTGCGTTTAACAAAAACTGGGCTGACAGTGGGTCCCTGCGCGTACAAGCATGAAATTGTTTGAGATATCTATGATATAGATAAAAGGATATTATTAACAAGACAAATGCTTGGGGGGCATAAGTAAGTGAAGGGTAGCGCAAATACGAGTTATGTGCATCTCTCTCTCCCTAGACATCCCTCGATTTTTTCTGTTTCTTTGGGGTGGGTATTCATGAACATATGTGGAGGAGAAGTCAGTTCACCTGCAACCCAGATAAAGAAGTTTGGCTGAGTATTCGCTCGGCCACTTCCTCTGCACTGCTTCCTCTCATGTTTGCTGTTACCTGTCAGGAGGGTTGTAAGCAACCAAAATAATAAGAAATTGTAATCCAAAAAAAATAAGTAAAAGATTGAACCATGAATTGGTCAGCAGCCCTCAAATGTGCCTCCAGTCTTTCAAGCATTTCATGAGTTATATCTAGCACGCCTTTTCGCTGGATCAATGATTTTCTGCTAGCAACAAGGACCGCCTGAAATGATAAAACAAGGTCAAACAAGAATCCAAAAATATTTACTCTGCATTAATGTCCAAAGTCTCCATGTATCAGAATCTAAAATTCTGGTAAGTTTGCAGCTTTGTAATCTCAGCAGCAAAAAACAGCAATTACCTGACTCTCTAAGATTACTCCACCTTCAATTTCTTTCAAATTATTTTCTCTCAACGTTGTTCCACTGCTCACAAGGTCCACAATAGCATCAGCTATTCCCATCTGTTAAAAGGAAAAACAAAAGTCGGCATGGATATAGAATTTGCACTCCCTTGTTTAACTCAATTATTCAATCATTCCAATCAGTGAGGCAGCTACGGGAGAGTAGGATAAATCAAATTCAATTCTAATCCTTCTTTAGTGGTTTCCTTAGCGATCTTCATCATTTAAGCGACCTTCGTATTGCTCATTCATGAAATTTTAACAGTACCACTTGTCCTTCACTGACTCCGAGGAATCTCATTCATGTACATATTTCCAGATTCTTCTTTATCACTTAAAGTGACACATGAATTTTGTTTTATTCCATTCACATTGCACTTGTCTGAGTTTCTGGTCTCCTGCTGAGATTCATATTGAATTATGCATAACTGCTAAAAGAAACACGCAATTATGTTATTATATTTGCATCCATTCTAAGCAAAAGATGTTACCAGGATGGAACTTTGTCAGATTCTTCCAAAAAGCAATTAATAAAATTAGATAGGACAACCCATTAATCGTCCAAAGCGAAAACTCCAGAATGAGTTCTCTCCACCCGAAAAAGAATTATTCCATCATTATCATTTCGGTTTATTTTGATATTAATATTATTTGTTTCCAATATAATTTAGATTTATGTCGTTTTTGTTTCTTTTTATATAATTTCTTAGTTTACAAGTATGGTGCTAAGTGTTGGGCGGTTAAAGGACAAAATGTCCAAGAGATGAATGCTACGGAAATAAGGATGCTAAGATGGATGTGCAATCATAATAAAATGGATAGCAAATTAAAAGATATGCCAACAAGTGGAAGTGGCACCTATTGAGGATAAACTAGCGGACGAACGAACTAAGAGGTTGCAACATGTTTTGTATAGATCTAAAACCGCTATGTTCATGAGTGACATGACTAAGGTCTTGCAGCAAAATCTGGCCTCTATTCCAGGTTATATTTGGTATTTTCTCAATCTCTAGCTACGAATATGGGTCTAAGGTCTCCTATTCTTCTCGAGCTTCAATCTTAACTGATGAAAAAGAAATCGGATTATTTCTAGGGATCGTAAATTATTTTCTTTCCGCCTTTTTTTAATCAGCATCCATGTGATATGTTTGTAGCTAATTGATTAGGTTGCAACTTTAGCACTATAGATCTGATCTTGTACCAATTTTCAATGTTAACATTGTATTAGCCCAATTTTCAAAAATTAGTGAAATTTCAACCTGTTCTAATTAGAATTTGCAGGTTACTTCTGCCTGAATCAGATTTTCACATGTATAACAGTAGAAAATGCCAGTATGGAGAACAGGGAAAGAACAGCCAAAAATATCAATGCAAAAGCAGGAGCAGCACATCATGTTATCAGAATGTATAGCATATCCATGTCAGGAGAGTTTAATTCTTACAGCAGGAGCTGCCTCCAGGGCTCCATCAGCGGTTGAAAAAGTGACATGCTTCAATCCATTATCTTTCATAAACTTTGGAGCCAACTGCAAATAAACATGAACCATTAAATAGAACATTTTCAATACAAAGAAAGTATTCAAGCAGAAGTAAACAGAAAACTCTGCATACACCATACATATGTGAAGCCAGTAGCAACTCTCAGAGGTCTTTCAGGTGTCCACTGAGGCATCTGTGCTAGCTCTTTCAAAGAGTTTATGTTCTCAAAAATGCCATACTTGGGTATCTAAAGAAAACGAGTACATTACCTTCCATAGAAAAGGGGAAAGAAAAAAGTGTGCAATGATTTTATTTCCTGAACAAGTTTCTTACCGCTAAAGATAAATGACAATCTCCATACTCAAGAGCATCATGGACAAGGATGAGATCTTCATTTCCCTGCAAAAGGTTTAAACGATGAGAACCTAATAAATGAATTACAGTTTTAAACATTAATAAGAACTTAAAAAAGATCCACAGTAATTTGCACATCAAGATACTAAAACACATAAGCATGCATCAAAGCATAAATAATTGGCCAAGAAAAACTCTCACAAAAAATGACACAATGAACATGGTAGATTGGAAAACTCACAACTCATGAACATGGGCACATGATAGTCAGAACAGAAAGAGGATTTTATTTTTTGGCTCAACATAAGTGTTAAATATCAAAATGAAAAATTTGCACCGGAAATCAGAAGTACAAGACCTTCATATCATCAATCCCAACATATTAAACAAACATTAATGTGATAAAGATACCTCTCTCGTGCTATTTGTACTCAATAACTGATGAGCATCATCGTGCTTATCTATATTACACCCTCTAATCTTACCTGCCCATATTCTGCAACTGTATCAAGGCCGACAATACCAAGGTCTAAATCTCCAGAAACCAATTTTCTCACAATGTCTTTTGGCCTTTGAAGCCAAACTTCTAGATTTGAAAACTGCAACATTATAAAAGGGGTTATATATTTTTAAAGAAGCATAAATGTCTAGAATACATCCAAATAATATTACGTTGTACAATTAGATTAATAACTCTTGTGTGGCATAAATGTGGTTACATTGGAGTTCAGCATATATTCAGGGAACTGTGACCAATATGGTAATACCTTGCTGCATACAGTACAGAACTAGGATTAGCTAATGTATTTATAGAGAAATACCTTGAAGTTCCATTCAAGTAAATCAGAAGTCAAATTTTCCGTATGCCATTTCTAAATAGAGAAGATTTTTACATGTAATTTGAAGTCCCTTGGATGCAGCCACTTCCACTTCAAGCTACTAGTAGCAACAGTGTTGATGGTCTGGTGATGACAGTTGTTCATGGTTTATCATGTAACTGGCTTAGTAGTTGTGGAGGCAAGACTATTATGAAGTTGGTTCAGTAGGCTCATAAACGAAGTAATCTAGTCATGGTGGAGGAAGAGGCTCCTTTTTCTTTTTTAATTACTTTGAGCTCAAGGCTAGAAGGTGGCAATGGTGGGCTTCTGAGGATAGTTGTTTAATTAATTTATGATGTGTTCATTTTCATTATTTATTTTCTTTCTCCCAACTTTATAAGAAAAGGCTCAAGTTGGTGTTTTGTGTGGAGAATGGTGGACATGTTGATTACATGTTGCTGTGATCTACAATGGGTAATAATGGAGAGGTGGCAGTGCGTAGCGTGCAACAGAAAGAGTTGGATAAACTATATCAAAATTGAATGGATGGATGAAATCAGGAGAGCAGATTATCCCATTTGACACACCCCTTTTTATGCATGTAGTAATGTATGAACATCATTGCTTGTGATTATGTGTATATAGCAGATCCAGGACTCAACATTAGAAGGGCGGTATAGTTGTAGGAACTTCGAACAAGTGCTAGAAGTGATGTAGTTTGCATGCAAGACATGGAATGTGGAACATGCATTGATGATAACATCATGTGATGTGGCATTCCTTTTTTTCTCCCGGGAGAAGAACACCTTGCAGAGAAGGCAAAACTAAGTGCTTGTATGTGTTTCGTTATAAGTTCCTCATAATTTAAATGTCAAAAGTCAAACTTTAGTTTTAACAACACATTCCGTAGGTCCCACAACTACAATCATATGCCATTCATTTCTATCACGTTATGAAACTCAAACAAAAACAAAATATTGAGCTGTTTGTTTACAATATACCTTGATCACAATAAAATAATTGAATAATACAAGACAAGTTCAATGTCTTGCAAAATATTGCAGAGAACAATGTCACTACGCGAAGGAAACAAATTAAAATGTATAATTATGGAGAAAGATCAGGTTATCAATATTCATTATAATAAGATAACGACGAAATGATTGAAGTGAACTGGTTGTACAGGTTTGTTGGCTAGGAAGATGGCACCCGGTGATGTCTGAAAGGACATTGTTAACCATCATCTTCTCAACAACATTGGAAACTTTCGGAAAGATAATAAGTCCAGAAAACGGAAGGGAAGATAGGTCATCCATCCAAGAGGCAGGGAGAAGGAAATATTCAGGAGAAAAGAAGGAGCATGGGAGAATTTGTGGAAAAATATGGGACACCTCAACCGTCACTCCCCATCAGCTTCCACTGTATATGACATCATGACAGTGGATTAACATAAATATGGCAACCCAAAAATCCATAATTTCACTTATAACCTAACATAAATATTAAAGAAAGAACAGCTACGATATAATCTACTTAACTTTCAGACAGACTAATCCCAAAATGGGAAAAATCAAATTGATAATTTCAATTTTCTTGAAACTGTACAGCTACGAATAGTGATATCAATTGTTATACCGGGAAAACATGGGAAAAACTTGCTCATGTGATGAAATGTACGCACCAGAGGAATTTCAGCGACATACTGTCTTGGATTCACCTGCCTCACTGATAATTGGCAATCCTTTACAGACCCACAACAGAAACAAAAATAAAATAAAATCAATTGGTGTTTTAAGGGTAAAATCCCACATTATTTAAGTACGAAAACAATAATCAAAGTCAGAACTTGAGCTACTCCTTTTCACAGGTTCTAACTCTTAAGATAGACCCCAAGGTTCGATACCGTGACAGAGCTTAAAAGCTGGTTCGAGCAATTTAATTAAATTTCGAGATTAGTCTTGTCAAACAAGTTGACAGTACGATGGAATCCAAGCTAGCAGTTGATTACAAGATTAGGTTATCAAACTAGTTGACTTTCAAGATGGAATCGGAATCCAAGACTCGATAATTAGTCATGTGTAACCTGCCCTACAGAATCTCGCAAATTCCAACATTACAAAGTTGACATCGTATATAAATTAAGCACATGTTCATTCACAAACACAATTACCTTGAGAAGTTCGAGAGTATCAGTTGCCATTCGGCCTTTGCTCGGCAAACCGAGCCGAACTTCATTTCTCTCTGATGGGCTCTTATCTACATTTCCGTTAACAACAGTGACTGGAGACGCAACGGAGCTACAAGAAACTGTAAATTTCACAGGAACGCGATTATTTGCAGTAGATGGTGATGATGAGAAATATGAAATTGAAAACGAGGGGCACTGTAGGAAATTCATTTGTACCACGGCCATTTCTCGATTTTAGTGTGTTTTTGTGTGAAAGATGGAAGAGACCTATTTTGGGCGGTTTCCAAAGATTAACAGGCGCCGCCGCCGGGATTGAGAGTCCAGTTGGGAGGATATGTTTTTGGGATAATTGCAGCAAAGCCTCAAACCTTTAAAATTAACAGACTTTTTCCAAATCTTTCAATCATTNTGGGAGGATATGTTTTTGGGATAATTGCAGCAAAGCCTCAAACCTTTAAAATTAACAGACTTTTTCCAAATCTTTCAATCATTATAGCTATCATCCTGACTTTTTCAATTATTGCATGTGAGGCCCTTTTGATGGTTTCCATCCAAAATGAAGTCAGTTGACCATCAAATTAAATTTTGACCATTTTCTAACAAACTAAGGGAGGATAAAATCGTCTATATACCGTAAACATTCTTAAAAAAATCCCATTTTTCATCCAATCCCCCTACTCCACCTAACCCAACCCAAAATAAAAAAGTAGAAATTACACAAAACCATACTTTAACTATTCAACCTTCTAAAATCAAATTCAAAGTTTCATATTTCAATAATCGGAAATATTATTTTAATCAATATTTTTAAAAAATAAATATTTTACTAATATACTCCATTATATACACATTACAAATCCTAATCATCTTTATCAACATTTCTTCATTCTCTCTCTAACCCCCCAGACGCTGTTGTCGTCGGCCACCGTGAACACCCCACCATCCCCCGTTCTTCATTCTCTCTCTATCCTTCCAGATGCCACAATCGAAACAACTTAGGGATGTCAAAAAGGATCGGTAGCTCAGGCGGTCCGTGGCTCGGCTCGTGGCTCAGACCAACCGAGCCAAAGCTCGGGCCGAGCCCCAAAATGGGGCATCCGCCCGAGCCCGAGCCGACCCGTGGATTGACAGGCCGGCCTGTTTAATTTTAAAAAAATAACAAAAAAAAAGGCCTGCCTGCCTATATTGTGCTGCCTGGCAGTAGTTAACTTGTTGCGAACAGGCAGCAGATTTGCTGCCAGTTCGACAACATTCTGTAGCTGCCAACAGGCAGCTTTAATTATAAAGATGCCTGTTGGGCAGCAATTAAGAAAAAAAAAAATTAAAAAAAAAAGAAAAAGAAAAAAGACAGCAAAACAAGAGCCGGCTCGGCTCGGCTCGGTAATGCCCGAGCCAAAAGCTCGGGTCGAGCTTTATTTTTTTTGAGTCGAGCCAGCTCGGCTCGGCTTGGGCCAAAAAAAGCCCGTTTTGAAAAAGCTCGAGCCGAGCACGAGCCGGGAGTTTCGGCTCGTTTACACCCCTAAAACAACTCGACTCTGAGGACCGGGTCAACAACCAGCAAGATCTGAGTCGTGACGCTACCCGCTTCTCCGATGACTTCATTCCACCGGTTTCATTCCACCGGTGGTGCACTGTGAGGGTGGATTTGAGAAGCAAACCAGAAATCGAAAGCTGAATTCAACATATTTGTTGGATGATTTAGGGTAACAAGGGAATCAGACTAATTGGAGGAGTTAGATCCCATGTACATGATGAATTGTGTGTGACAATGGTTTTGTTGAGGTTTGTTGGAATAGTTAGTGGCGATAGGGTGACAGTGGTTTTGTTGGTGGTTGTGGTGAGTTATTGGCGGTAGTGGTCGTTTAATCCCTAATTTTTGTGGTGGTGGCGGACGTGGTGGTGAGGTGTTGGTGATTGTGGTGGTCGCTGTGGTGGCGAATTAGGATATGGTAGGGGCGGACACACATGGGATCATGTGGGGTCAAATGACCCCACATAATTCGAGTTTTTTCTCCAGAAAATGGTTGTTTTAACCCGTTTTCGATCCATTATAATACATACCAAATGAAATCGAAATATTACATTCTTAATATTATTTCTAAGCGCTAATGGCCTAGTTTTTCACTTCTTAATGGTGTGCGAAATGATCAACCATAGCAAAAGTTACAATGTATCAAAGTAGGCCGTTCCAAATTAGTATTTCGAAAATTTCAATAATATGCTAACTTTTAAAATTTCCTGACGATCGTATACTATCCAAATTTACAAATCGCTTACATCACCTAGAATATCGTTTCGAAAATTACATCGTAGTCATATCGAATGGTCCAAACAGATATCGAAAATAGCGAATTAAAAAGGGCGTTTAACTCGTCTTTTTAAAAAAAATCAATTATTTCATAATGTTTATTATTTTTTCACGATAAATTTTTCAATATAATTTACATCATTTTATTAGAAAATTTTAGATTAAAAATGATGTCAAAAATTCTAAAATTGTTATGGATTAAATGTAATTTGACTTACTTTCAAATTATTTTTTCGTCAAACTTAAATTTCATTTACTTCTTACATCCAATTTGGTTTACTCGTCGTTAGCTTAACATCCATAAATAACATGGTAAATAAAACTGTACATGTATCAAAATTCATTTAACAATATTGATAATGATAGAATTATAAGACACTTTCAAGATGCCAAAATGCGAATTAACTTATTTTTATAAATATTATATTTTTCAAAAAAATTACACATTAATTTTTGGAGCTAAGCACAACCCGTGAGGATGACCTCGCAAGTGACCGCGCCCTCACATACTCGATGAGGTCCTCATGAATAAAATAATCCCGACCCCATGTGTGTGTTGTGTCAACCCCGCGGTCATTCATGTGAGCACTATAACACAACTCTAATTTTTTACCCCACAAACCAAAACAGCAAGGTCTGCCCTAGGGATATGGCCATTTGTTCCTTGGGTTGTAATATGCTTTTTTTGCGTTCACATTTTTTTTTATTCATAGCAGTACAATTCGTATTGTTTTGCTAGTTGGTTGTCGCTTTTGGGAAGTGGTGGCGCGGCGACTGCGATGGCGACGACGGTGGTGATAACGGTGGCGACAACGATGATGTGGTGGTCGTGGGTTGCAATTGTCATGGTGGTGTAGTAAGAAAGTGTTTGTGACCTACTATTTGGGGGTTCGTGACCAACTGTCAGGAGTTAGTGATGACGGTGGTGGTGGTGTGGTGATTTTGGTGACGACGATGGTGGTGATGGTATTACTGGAGGCAGCAGTGAGATGGTGGTTATAATGTTGATGGTAGTCACAATTTATTTGGTTGACTGTGACCATTAAATTGATTAATCTGTGACCAATAAACAATATATGTGACCAATTAAAAATATATTGTTATGGATTAAATGTAATTTGACTTACTTTCAAATTATTTTTTCGTCAAACTTAAATTTCATTTACTTCTTACATCCAATTTGGTTTACTCGTCGTTAGCTTAACATCCATAAATAACATGGTAAATAAAACTGTACATGTATCAAAATTCATTTAACAATATTGATAATGATAGAATTATAAGACACTTTCAAGATGCCAAAATGCGAATTAACTTATTTTTATAAATATTATATTTTTCAAAAAAATTACACATTAATTTTTGGAGCTAAGCACAACCCGTGAGGATGACCTCGCAAGTGACCGCGCCCTCACATACTCGATGAGGTCCTCATGAATAAAATAATCCCGACCCCATGTGTGTGTTGTGTCAACCCCGCGGTCATTCATGTGAGCACTATAACACAACTCTAATTTTTTACCCCACAAACCAAAACAGCAAGGTCTGCCCTAGGGATATGGCCATTTGTTCCTTGGGTTGTAATATGCTTTTTTTGCGTTCACATTTTTTTTTATTCATAGCAGTACAATTCGTATTGTTTTGCTAGTTGGTTGTCGCTTTTGGGAAGTGGTGGCGCGGCGACTGCGATGGCGACGACGGTGGTGATAACGGTGGCGACAACGATGATGTGGTGGTCGTGGGTTGCAATTGTCATGGTGGTGTAGTAAGAAAGTGTTTGTGACCTACTATTTGGGGGTTCGTGACCAACTGTCAGGAGTTAGTGATGACGGTGGTGGTGGTGTGGTGATTTTGGTGACGACGATGGTGGTGATGGTATTACTGGAGGCAGCAGTGAGATGGTGGTTATAATGTTGATGGTAGTCACAATTTATTTGGTTGACTGTGACCATTAAATTGATTAATCTGTGACCAATAAACAATATATGTGACCAATTAAAAATATAAATTGTAATCAAGAAATAACGTGTGACATAAGAAATTACTAATCTGTAATCGATAATTTGATAATTTGTGACTGCATAATAAATTATGACTTAAAACATTTGTGATTTGTGACCAATAAATAAATCGCGACTAATAAATTTTTTGATTTGTGATCGATGAAAAAACAGTGACCTATAAAATTTTTGAATTATGATCGTAAAATAATTTATGACAAAAAATAATAACTAACTAAATAATTAATTATGACCAAATTGTATTGATCTGCGACCTAAATATTTTTAATCAATAAAACAAATAATTAATTAATTAAATCATAAATAAATTTTAATAAAAATCTGATTTTTGAAGTTTGAAATTTGTTTTCTTAATTTTGAAATGTATGATACTTAAGCTCATATGAAAATTTTCCATAAGAAAATATAGTCATCGCAATTGTCGAAGATTGTCGATATCACCTGTGACATCCCAAAACTATAGTAAGTTTATAATGCATAGCCATACCTTGTATTGTGATGTATATCTCATGTAATATAGTAGATAAATTTATTAATAATATTATAACCTTATGTAAAGAATTGAATTAAAATTTTGGTTAAAAACCATGTCGAAAAATTAAGGAAAATGAGGTGGCTAATCTCAATAAATGACCTTGCCACTCTAAATATGAAAATGACAAATGGTATAAGGTGGCTACTCTCAATAAATGACCTTGTTACTCTAAATATGAAAATGACAAATGGTATAAGATGGTTATCCTACACATATCACTTTGTCACTCTAAATACTACAATGACAAATGACATAATAGGGTAAAATGTGGCAAAATAATGATTAAGGAAAAATAAATTAATTATTAATTTAATTCTAAATTATTACTATAAATAGGAGAGAAATGGAAATGCATACAAAAAAAAAAAAAAAAACTCAAGTAACTTTATAAAGATAGCACTTTAATTGTCTTGCAATTTGGAGGTGAATAGTCTGTACCTACTTTTATTTTAAACATAT